CCGCTCATGAATGGTACACACAAAGAGGATGGACAAAATCTTGAAGACAATCAGGAGTCTGTTTCTCCAAATGCTACGTCTCCTTTGTCTCCTGCACCTGGGCTGTCCCTAAGCCTATCCCTCTCACCTAGCTCTTCAGAAAGCCTAAAAGCAATGGAAGAGCTGCCTGGTTCTCCAGCATCTCCATTTCACTCTCTAAATTCTGAATTGAAAAAGTTAGAGGGCAACGAGTCAGGCCCCTCATCACCAGCGTTAAAGTCGGACGTTGTGTCTGGAAAGGAATCTGAGCAAACTCAAGTAGACCACACTGAGCCAGTCGCTGACAATGAAGCAGTAAGCCTTAAGATTTATATTTTCATCCATACGCTTGGGCTTTTCATGACACCAGAAGCCTTTAACAAAAATTATTCTTTCTTTTAGGTGGAAAATGAGACTACGGACGATCAAGCAAATTCAAATTCTGTCAAGGATTCTGAAAGGCCGCTTCCTCAGTCTCCTGTGGTGCCAGCTGATTGCCCCGAACCCATGGAAACAGACAATAGCTCCCCAAAAGCAGTGAACTCTGTGATAACAGAAACAGAGACTGATAAAAAGACAGAAAAAACACCTCCGCCATTATCAAATGAGGTTGATTCTTCCCCTGCTCCTGCTTGCAAGTCTGATGCTACAGTTACTGAAAAAGAGGCTGAAACAAAGAAAGTAAGGGAAGAGACTACTCCAGTTGCAGAGATGAAAAAGGACATTTGCAGTGAGAAGATGGATATAAAAACTGAAGAGAAAAGTGAAAAAGACACCATCAAACAAGCCCGCCCTTCCTCGACTCCACCATCAAATGGAGGTAGGGGATCATTTAGGTTTAAGTTTACTTCTTTTTTTTTTTTTTTTTTTGATTTGCAAACTTGCAGTTAAGAGGTTTATTCACTTGAGATAACTTTGGTGTACATTTTTTCCTTTTGAAGGTAAAGATGAGAAAAGTTCATCTGGAATAAAACGCACACTCTCGGAGGGATTTGAACCCAATGGACCTTGTATAAACAGAGAAGTCAAAAGGCCAAAGGTGGAGAGTGAGGAGTTTGAAGCACAACTGGAGCTCAAAATTACAGCAAAAGCTGGAAATCACCTTAAACTTGAAAAGGTACAAATGCAAAGAATGTGCTTAAAGTCCAAGTTAAAGGTACATTGTGTAACTTTTCTGGTGAAGGATCCATCAAATGCTTTTTTTAATGGAAATATTATTGCTTTGTCTGGAATGTAACACAACATAGTGTTAAATTTTTCTGTCTTTATGGAGACTAAACCAGACCACGTTACAGGTCAGATCTGTGGAGAGGCAACCCCACTCACAGTCAGGGTGCCTGTTTTTCTAGGTATTTTTAAGTAATTGAACTGTTTAATGTCATGCTGTGTAACAGTCCAGGCAGAGCAATGATATATCCAAAGAAAAAGCACGTGACTGACCCCCAACCAAAAGGTGACATAGTGCACCTTTAAAGTCTAATCTGTCTAAACACAAACTAAATTCACATTATCTTTCCACAGATTGTTCAAAAGCTTGTAGAGGAAAAACTGAGAGTGTTGGAGATGACCATTTTTGATAGAAATCTTCAAGAGTTAAAAGACAGAGTTGACCAAATTGACTGTACAACTAAACACCACACTGCTATGAATACACTACAAGTAAGTTAACAAATTTGTGAATATTAACAGATGAAATAAATGGTCACTATGATCCTACAGATACATTGTGCTCTTCCTAGGCCAAAATTGCTCGTCTGGCGAAAAAATTTGGAGAAGCCAATCAAGCTTCTGAAAATAAAAAGAAACAGGAGGTAAGAATATTTTATTTATATATCATTTGTTTGGTGGTATATGTTAGGCCAATGCATTTTGAAGCACAGTATATTGCTACAGAAAAATATTTAAATTACAAAATATACTGAAACTACTTTATGCCATTAAAATAAAGTAGGATAATCCCAGTAAAAAAAATTTAAATAGACAATATCATTAAAAAACATGAGCAGCAAGAAGTTAATAGAATTAATTAATAAATAGCCATAGGAGAGACTTTTTCAACCCTCTACAGTTTAACATATAACTATCATAAATGTAGCACTTTGTGCTACATTTCAAATGTATGAAAAGTTCTATACAAATAAAGTTTGATTGATTGATTGTTTGAACTAAAATAACAAAAATCTCTCTTCTTTTACAAAGAAAATGTGCACACAATATATCATTAGATAATATATATCATATATTAGACAATTTATATAACATCAGTATATTGTTCAGCTTTCATATATGGAATGTTGATATAGTTGATATAGCAGTTATCATTACATATCTAGTACATGTTAACATAATTTTCTTCTCGCAGGCCCTTGCTGCCGCCGCTGCTGCCGCCGCCGCTGCCACTGCTGCTGCCACGGCGGCTGCAAACACTACCCCAGCCCCCCCAGCTCCTGCTGCTAAGACAGTTCCAGGTCCTCAGACTCAAAGGTAAAAAAGATTTATTTTTATTTTTACCCAATTAACATCCTTATATATTTAAGATATTATTTAAAGGTGCATTGTGTACATTTTCTGGTGGAGGGTCTGTCAGATGCTTTTCTTTAAGATGGTATTGCTTTGACTAGAATGTTTCACTGTATGGTATTAAACCTTTCCATCTTCATGAAGACCACACCAGACCAAGTTACAGGTCAGATCTGTGGAGAAGGAGCTCTACTCATTTTTTCTCGTTTTTCTGGGTGTTTTTGAGCAATAAAACCACCTGTAACTGAATAAATGGTAAGGTAGAGCTGTTTAATGTCACACTGTGGAACATTTTGGATAGAGCAGTGACATCTCCAAGGAGAAAAGCATTACATAGTGCACCTTTAACCTCCACATTTCAGAAAAGTTCTTGCTATTGAGCACTGACCATTACATTACAATCCTCTAAAATTAGCATTTTGAAATAATAAAGTATTTGTGCAAGTTTGGGTGATTGATTTTATTGCGCAAAAGTTTAACCAGCATTGTTTTAGAACAATGGATTTTGTTAATTTTAGAGCTAGTTTTTGTGCAGTGAGGGCTGACAGAGTATAGTACAGGTTACAGTGAACCTGGATTTATCTGTGGTTAGTGACATTGGGGGATACCTCCCGGAGTGAAGAGTGAAGAGTGTAGTTACAACTGCACTTCTTCTCCCTACAGCGTACACCATCAGCAGGCAGTACAGCTCGAGGTGCTGATGGCCAGGTGCCCTTTGTTGCCTCGACGTCATCTGTGCACACTTCGAAGACAAATCATGATAAGCCACAACAAAACGACACGAAGATTTATGCACCACTGAACCATTTACCATTTGTGCAAAAGATCACAGAATACAGCGAAGGAAAATGCAAGGCAGATATTCAACTAAGAACCATTAGCACCGACTTGGAAACTCTTTTATATGTCAAATGTCAAAGAGGCGGGAGTCCCAAGGCCAAACGTTATGCCTCTTACATATTTCGCTACCTCCTGCCATATAAACTCTACCGTGACTGGGTCTCAAAAGTGAACTACAATGGACTTTTGTGCAAACATGCTCTGCCCCTAAACCTGAGGAGGACATTAAGAAAATACATTGAAGAGCGATTCCCTAATCTGTCCAATAAACAGTGGAAAGAAATTCGTGACACTATCAATGAACTACTAAGAGTAAAAAGAAACCCAGGTTTTTTTTATAAAAAAAAATTTAGTTGAATAAAAAGTACTGGTTCAAATTAATGCCATAAAAGGTAATTGGTTGGTTTTATTGGCATTTTACTAATTGGGCTTGTGTTTAATTGAGGAACATTGTCATTATACATTTTATAATAAAGTATTAGTTGGGAACCAATTAACGGTCAGCCCTAGCAGTAAACTCTCCTTAGTTCTTTAGTGCTCTTTTGCTGTTTATTTTCAGAAACAAAAATGTACACCTGAGCTGCCACCACAAATGTTTCTGTTGGTTATTTGGAGTCAACTATGAGTAATGATAATTGTCTTTTGTACCGTTCTGTATAAATAAAGAAAAAAGAAAACATGACTAAGTATTGACCTATTTTTAAAAACAGGCCTGCTCGTTCCTCTATGGAGGTAAAGCAAACAACAACACTTGCTGTTGCATCAACCAGCATTCCTGCTCCTGGTAAGAAGCCCATTTTCTCCCCTTCCCTGTGTGATGATGGTGGTGGTGGTGATGGTGATGGTTGCATTTGGGATTAGGATTTACTGTTAGCAACACATTTTTGCAAATCTTATATGTCTTTTTCTTTCAGCCACTACAGCGCCTGCAATCTCTGCTCCCGTTCCCACGACCACGACTTTAGTGTCTCAGACACCTATTCTCCAGCTCATTGCCTCCACTGCTAATGCAGTCTCTAATCTGACTGCGAGCAGTACCACTCAGAGTCCTACAAGCACATTGGTGCTGAAGAACGGTATGATGGCGACAGGCCAGCCTCTGCTCATCCAGCTGCCTCTATCCATGGCTAACGGTCAGGCAGGAACTCTCGTAAACATTCCCGTGTCCTCTTTGAATGCGGTCACTTCTTTGAACAAGTCAAAGACTACTGCGCCCACTACAACATTTATTCTCAAGTCTGCTCCTACATCCACCTCTGTGCCCTCCGCTTTAACCGCTGCTACGCTTCCTGCTACACTTCCTGCTATACAAGCTCCTGTGTCTCACGTGCCCACTTCACAAATCTCTCTTGCCCGGGCGGTGTACCAGGGCGGGGCAGGAGGAATAACCACACCTAACTCGGGGGTATCTGTGACCTCAGTGAGAGCCCCGACACAGTCTGTGTCTGTGGCCGGAGCCATGTCCTCCACTTCATCACTTGTGACCTCTGGACCGGCTGCAACAGGTTCCACTGCCCCTGGGCCTCCACAGGGGACCTCACTAACCACAAAAACAGGTATTCACACAGTAAATGCCGGGTTTATATTTTTAAACAGCTTTTGTTTAGTTTAAATATTAATAGCCAATCTTGTAGGGAATAGTTTTTTAACTTCATACTTAAATGTCATTTATATTAATTTAAATTTAATTTTCTTTTCTGCTACCAGACAACCAAGTACCTGGACCTTCTCCATCCAAAGTAGCTCCTGCTGCACCTCGACCAAAGGGCTCCGTCATAGATCTTACTGAGGAAGATGATGATGTTTTAGGTTGGTAATTATAATTATTAAAATATATTTCACCTTGAATATTTGTCTAATTATATATTTTGTTATTTTGTGTTTAGTCACAGGAGTAAAGAGCGCCACTGTTACAACAGCCAATGGTATACGCTCTCAAACAAGCATCACCAGTAAGTCATTAACATGTAACATTTTTTAGTCTGGCATTAATGTTATTACTGTTTATTAGTAATAATAATAAGTAATATTCCAATAAACATAACTGTGCCTAAATAATGAGACATTTTTGGTGATTTCAGGTACAGCCAGATCGTCCCCTCAGACAAACCCAACCTCTGCCAGTACTCCCCAACTCTCAACCCACCATCGCCCTCTACTGGTAAGGATTGCAAACTGACCAAAATAATACTGTTAGGAAGTGAGCTTTTCTTAATGTCTTCACTACAATACATAAATTAGATGTTAACAGTAAAATGGTTATTTTATGATAATTATTATTATTCTGGAAAGGTTTTGACCGAGCCCAACTGTTCAAAAATTATAATTGTACTTAAAATCTCCAATGCACTATTGCATTAGGTTGTCTAACAATAGATTTATTTATTTATTTTTTGTTTTGTGTTTTTTAGGACTCAAAATCCAGAAATACGACTAGTACTCCTACTCGGGGCTCCAGTGTTGCTCTCCCTCCTCTTCCTACTGCCCCTGTACCACCACGTTTACCTCCAGAAGCCGAAAAGACCTCAGTCCCACAGCAACCACAGCTAAAACTGGTGCCAAGTCAGACAGGCATTGTCCTTTCTTGGTGTGTAGCAGAAACAGATTTGACCTGTGCGCCCGTGGACAGCTACCACCTCTATGCTTTTCACCAGGACAATTCAAGCAGTAACCCATCTCAGCAGCACTGGAAAAAGATCGGAGAGGTCAAGGCCCTTCCGCTGCCAATGGCCTGCACCCTTACCCAGTTTCAGACTGGCTCAACCTACCACTTTGCTGTTCGAGCTAAAGACATTTATGGGCGATTTGGTGCTTTCTGTGAACCACAGTGCACTAATGTTATCAATTCAAGCTCTAGTTGAACCAGTCAGAATGGGAGAAGAAAATTGTTCATTCCGTTGGAGGTTACTTTTTTAAACCTGCACTCGCCTGCATCTGTAAATAGTGAATGCGTATTATCTGGACTGATGACTGACTTAAGAATGAAAATGTCTTATGGTTTTGTTCGGTGTATTTCTAGGTGACATCTTGTGAGCGTGTATATAGTTCACTCAGCAGGCTGTATTTATGTTCTGACTCCTGTTCCCTTGATTGAAATGTCAGATTGTTTAACCTGAACATGAGTGACAGAATTTACTCTAGGACACAATTGCACAGAATTGTATTAATGTGTGGTAGATACTGATTTTTGTACGTTTTGTCTGGCAACCAGACTTTGACAACCATAATAAAGTTTTTATTTAAATCTTGGATTCTTATTATAAACAGTAGCATTGCCTTTATACACATTTTCTTTACAATATCCACACAAGCTAAAATAACTGAAGAGTATCTGTTTTAATGCAAATAGTACTGTAATTTAATCTTTATTAATTGGCCTGATGTCTGCAAACTATTAATTTGAGCAAGTGATTATAAATTCTCAAATTAAGTAATTCATCCTATGTTAAAAATTTAGAACCTTTATATTTAATTTTTCAGACCATAATTGTGAATCTACCGCGGGGTAGCAGTACCACTACTTAATAATAATGCTGTCTTCCTGTGGAGAACATGAAACCCTTTTGTGAAGTGATCCGAAGGCTCGAATCCGGTTCGAATCCCCCACAGATGAAAACTGTCATTGTGTCCTTGGGCAAGACACCTAACCCACCTTGAATGTGTGCGAATGGGTGAGTGGTTCCTTGATGCAAACCGCATTGATTGCCTTAGGCTGAAAACACTACATGAAAATGTGACCATGTGTGACCAAGCGGAAAGAGTGATAAACTACAAGTTTGGTGCTTTTGAGGTGAGTCTGGGTGACACGTAGAAAGGTGAAACACATTTTATAGTGAGAAATATGCTATACATATGTATCTATTTTAATTTCACTTGAGACAGACAATTTAAAGAAATATTCTTATTTATTTACGAGTAAAAATAGGATTGCCAGTTGTGTTGGCATTAATACGTATATTAATAATAATCTTTATTCACGATTCTTTCACTGCCATCCGCCATGTGTCTGCCACAGCCAAGGTCGGGACTTGTGCAGTATCGACAAGTGATAGGCTGGAATTTACCGTAATAACCCATAACACATAAAGACTGCATAAAACACCAGCAGGTTTTGTAACTCATCACGTATCTGGAAAAATAATACATAAACTCATTACTTGTGTATAGTGGCAGAATATTTAACTTGATGTTGATTACAACAATTTACAGCGCCCCCTGGTGTGAGCGCAGGTGTCCTGCAGTAGTAGTGAGATGAGCCGAGCCATGAGCCCATCCCACTGCTCCAAGTGCAAACCCAAGTCCTAGTGAAGGCGGGAAAAGTGCAGCAGACTCATGAACAGCTCACGTGAGCCATACACGCGTGCCCTTCAAGGTAGGCTAGTTATAGACACTGTATGAAGCTAACTCTGGTCAGATGTGTTTTTCTGTGCATTTCTGTGTTTATATTGCGACCTCTTCTAAGGAAGCAGAAAGTAGCCTAATAAATCACTTTTATAACCTGTTGTCGAGGCCTACTGTTAACCTCGCGCAGTCAGCTCAATGTCCCCACAGCTCTATGCTCTCAAGATTGTTAGGAGTTATACTCACGGGTAACTAAGTTAGTAACTAAATATTTTGTTCTTAACTGTAATTTAATTAGACGCATTTTCACGGGAATGTGGTCCACTACAAAGTTAGCCTACTTAAAATTGTAATCCAATTACAGTAACTGTTAATAACTAAATTACACCCAACTTTGCCTTTTACCCCTCTACCTATCAAAATAAAAGCTGCAGTAATTAAGCTGCAATTAAGAAATGAAACACTTTATGAGTCACAGTCATATTTATTCAGCCCTCACAGTCAAAATCTGATCATAATACAGAAATAACTAAATGTTCTTCACTAGTACAAAAAAGTACCCTTGATAAGTAGTTACCCGCAAAAGTAAGTGTTCCATCTACTGAACAATATAGTAACTACTCTGTAACTATTGTGACAGGCAGAATTACCATGAGACAAAGGTCATGCTTACAAAAACACAAACAGGTCCCATACACGCAATATTTGATTATGAATAGAAACAAGCAATGCAGAAGGTTTCAGAAGACATTTTTGTAGCTTAACAATAGAGGGAGCTATTGCTTTATGTATAGAAGTGTCTGTTGGGCAATTGTTTCAACATTCTTTCTTTACAGTAGCTTCCTTTGGCTGACAGTCCAGCAGAGGGACCCATGTCTGCGCGTCCCTCTCTCTCTCTCTCTGCTCGTCTCTCTGTGTAGGAGGGGAGTGCGGGTAGAGTTGTGCTGCCAGAGGTGCGTGTGACTCCGCTCTTGTGTATCTCTGGGTAGCAGCGCACCACCATGCAGCCTGTTTGAATGCCATGTCAAACAACAGCTGTGTTGGCAAAGGCTTCCAGTTCATTTGAAAGGAAGGGCATCTGGCTTAGAGACGGACAGAAGAGCAAAGAAGAAGACTGACAAGTTGCAGACAGAGAGAGAGAGGGGTTAAAACTGAAGGACCCCCCTCGCCTCACTTAGAGAGCAAAAACGGAAGGCTTTGGAGTATTCAATTTTTTCTTTCGTTTTATATTTTTCTTATTCCTCATCGCGGTGCTGGGAGGTGCTTCATCTTTTCATATAGTCTCTCTCTCTGTCATTTGCCTCCTCATCTATTTTTCCATCTATTTGGTTTATAATTTCATCTATCTTTGAGTGACATTAAGGAAAAAGAGGAGTTTAGTGGTCATATTTTTTATCCTCCCTCCCTTTTACCACACCTGTTAGTCCCTACTTTCATTTAACTACTGCCATCTTCATTTACCATCCTCTTCCTCTATGTCTTTAATCATATATTATATAAACTAAAATGGCTAAAATCCTCATGAATGACTTTTTTTCCCTTTTCCCTCTCTTTTGGTCCTTCCACACCCATTTTTTTTGCATCATATTCTGGGGGAATCTTTAATGTTATTCTAGGTAGGTTAACTATTGTGTCTGTCTATCTGTCTGCCTGTGTGTATTTGTGTGTGCTTTACGTATACATAAAACACACGTGCACACACTCAAACTATGCCTAAAACCCACACTGATCACTAAATTGGTCCAGTCTTCGCATTTCCATATCTTCCCTTTTTGTCATGTCAGTGTCCATTTTTAAATGTCCACAAGCCTATACACATGTAACAGATTTTTTAAATGTTGTATCTTAACTAAAATGTCTTAATTGACATATTCTCATCACCTCTTTTGTTTACTTTTGTTAATTGACTCAATTCTGGATATATTTTCAACTGGAATCTACAAAATCAGTCATTGTTGTGGGTCTCTTAAGGCTGTTCTATTCTATGCGTTTTATGTTGCAAACGCATGTTATCTTAATTCATTAGCACTTTTCTATTTTTTCTCTTCTTTCCATATCCAGCATAAGACAACAATAATTCAATAAATATCTTTCCTGGTTTCTACGGTTACCTCAACTACATGCCATTCTTCCTTTTTTAAGCCCCCTTCACTCGTCTTCATTCCCATTTTCTTATCTGGCAAGAGAGACCGCTCTGAATTAGTTGGATGTTGAACAGTGGATTAAATGGGTAATGACTTGCTGGGGAGAGAAGCTGCTGAGGGCCGTGTGCAGGTGTTAGATTGAGACAGACTGATAGACAGATAAACATTTTCTTTTCATTTGGTCCCTTATACCCCTTTTGTTTTGCTCCTTCAGCCACCTGCTAACCATTTGGAAGCACTTCCATCTCTAGTGACGCTTGAGTTTTGGATTGCTTTAAAGGACTTATCTGGATGTGAGATGCATACATCTTTATTTTGAACATCCATTAGAGTACTTTAGCAACAGTAGTGTCTGTTTCATTGCTCATGGACTGCCACAGCGGCCAATGGCCCTGTCCTATTGTTCTGAGTGGGATGTCATCATGAAGGAAAATGAAGGACCATTTTTACTCTGTCTTTGCTTTTGTGTCTTAAATCTTCTCTGTAAAACATCTTCACGACAGTCTATAAATTATGTGTTACAGAAAAGAGTTAATTAGGTGAGTAGTGAATGAATATAGCACCCACTTGTTTTCAACTGCGTGTATGCGCATGCATGAACAGTAAGTCTGTGTGCGTCAGCATGTATTTCTGCATGCTACTGATCCTCTTATATATTCTGCATGAACTTAAGACAGCAGGGTCCCTCCCAAAGATATTTTACATTTGCCACCATATTTGTGCTCACAGTTAAACCTTTTGTACCCTACTGTGACTAATTGGCTGTTTATCAGCCCTATCCTTTGAGCTTTGTCCATTATCTTTGTCATTATCACTACTCTAAGTGCTAAATGAGAGTCAGTAGTTTGAGCTGAATACACATTAAGTACTATTTTGATTTCTCACCTCACAAGTTCACCACACTTGACTCACTCAATTAGACCGGTGCAGTGTTGAGGTGCATGCATTTAATCACATTATTTTTGACCCTGCTTTTCCTGCATATTTAGTTTTTAAAACAATACAATATTCTGTTGGCCTCCGCCCCCACACTTTTCTTTGTCTTGTTCCCTGCTTGTTTAACCCAGATGGTTAAAACGAAGTTGAACTCTGGAAATGAATCACACTGATTCATGCACCTGTTACAGGAGCATTAGGAGCATTAAGCATGACACGATGGGACACTAGCGGTTGTTTGGGTTTAATATCTCTAAACAGAGCATATATTAGGATAGTAAAAAGTGCTCAACTAACTGTAAATGAAGAGCTCACACTTTCAGTGACGAACGATACAAATAAATTACCCATAATGCCGCTCGTTGTCACATTTAAAATATGTTACAAAACTGAAACTGGTAACTTTTGCTTCTCTGTAAGAATGTGTAAGTAAACATCATGAGAGGTCTGCTTGTTTTAATATTTAAAACTAAAATCCAGTTTAGATTACTCATGCAAATTTTAATCTAAATGGCATTTTGATTATAAGTTTGAATATTTTTACTAAAAGAGCTCAGATGATTTTTGCACTGAGCGTCCCTAAGCCCAAACAGTCTGAATGATTTAGGACATCTTTTAAAGTGTGTGGTGTAACCACTTTGTGAGCACAGGAGATGCAACAAAATGGTTTAAATGAGCTGTGCAGCTCTTGGGTTTCAACCTAATGAACAATTTATTTTTTAAAAGGAATTATGAATCTGTGCTCCCAAATAGGACCACAAACACAAGAGGATTTGATTCATAATGAATTTGCTCACATACTTGTGTGCAACAACAGCTCCAG